GTGGCTCAAGCCTGTAATCCCAGTACTTTGGGAGGCCAAGGCGGGTGGATCACGAGGTCGAGAGATCAAGACCATCCTGGTCAACAAGGTGAAACCCCGTCTCTACTAAAAATACAAAAAATTAGCTGGGCATGGTGGCGCGTGCCTGTAATCCCAGCTACTCAGGAGGCTGAGGCAGGAGAATTGCCTGAACCCAGGAGGCGGAGGTTGCGGTGAGCCGAGATCGCACCATTGCACTCCAGCCTGGGCAACAAGAGCGAAACTCCGTCTCCAAAAAAAAAAAAAAAAAAGAAAAAAGAAAACTGGCAATTCCTCTTTGATTCTATACAAAACTTTAATAAGCAAACTTTTCTTAATCTATCACATTAAAATCCATCAGTCTATCTTATAGTTTAAATGCATCTTTCATCTACGGATGATTTTGTAACATCATGCATTGGTCATCTGGAAAACACTGGTTCACTGAGTTACGTAGGTCTTCAAATGTTGGCACATTCATTAAAAAAAAAAAAAATTCCATCACTGTTGAGGCTAAAAAAAAAAAAAGGAAAAAAAATGTATATAAATTTTTGAGACGGATTCTCACTCTGTCACCCAGGCTGGAGTGCAGTGGCGCCATCTCGGCTCAACTTTGCCTCCTAGGTTCAAGCTATTCTCCTGCCTCAGCCTCCTGAGTAGCTGGGATTACAGGCGCCGGCCACCACACCTGGCTAATTTTTTTTGTATCTTTAGTAGAGATGAGGTTTCACCACACTGGCCAAGCTAGTCTCGAACTCCTGACCTCAGGTGAGCCAACTGCTCTGCCTCCCAAAGTGCTGGGATTACAAGCATGAGCCACCATGCCCAGCCTAAAAATATTTTCTAAATGTCAACTGTTAATATTACCGATCTTCAGAAAAGACTAAGTATTGGGAAGCTATCAAGCACATGAATACAAGTTATCCAAAATTATATTTTTCCCTGGAAGGCTTAAATTTTATCATTGGCAACAAATACTGTCACTTGTTTTATGTAATGGTTTGCTTTACTCATTCTCAACAAAATGGCTGCCAAATACCCAAGTGTGAACAACTATGGTTTTTCAGTTGTTCTTTCAGGTAAAATAGTATTCCATAAAAAAAGCAGCTAGTTCAGCATGCAACTCTAACAACATCACAAGTGCTTTTCCTGGTAACCATCATGTTTTGGTATGCAGCTGAAACATTTTAGGTATACTTCCTCTTTTTTTTTTTTTCTGAGACAGGGTCTTACTGTGTTGTCCAGTTTCGAGTACAATGGTGTGTTATCAGCTTATGGCAACCTCCATCTCCCGGGCTTGGGCAATCCTTCTGCCACAGCCTCCCAAGTAGCTGGGACCACAGGTGTGCACCACCACACACAGCTAATTTTTTGTGTTTTTGTAGAGACAGGGTTTTACTATGTTACCAGGTTGGTCTGGAACTCCTAGGCTCAAGCGATCTGCTTGCATCAGCCTCCCAAAGTGATGTGATTGCAGGCATAAGCTACTGCACCTGGCCCATACTGAAAAGATGTTTACTCATGACTCTAGAGTTAATAAAATTCATAGTTTTTGCTGCTTTATCAAAGACATTCTTTCTTTTTTTTTTTAAATTTTACTTTTTTAATGGGAGTTCTGGGCTTTTAAACAATTGTTAATATTCTTAATTAAAATCAGCAGTTTTTAAAAAATTATGGCAGTCAAAAAATACAATACTGGTACAATTACTACCATCATGATCATACTGAGGAATCACTCATTTTACCCATGTCTGCTTTCGCACCATCAATGCGATTGCCAATGCATTGAAAAAGTCAAAGAATGTTTTGGTTTTGCTTATGAAAACAGTTTTGACCTTATGGCCTCCTTGAAAAGGTCCCGGAGACCTCCAGAGATCCCTAGACCATGCACTGAGAGTTCTAATTTAACAAATAACTTACTTAATAAACTTTATGCAAGATTTAATATACTTTTAAATAAATTGTTTTGGCACTTTACAAAGCTTAAATGCATCAAAAAGGCTCACTGAACCTAAGCGTCTCTGGGATTTTCCCAATGATTACCATTAATAGATTCTATAACTCTAAATGAGAAACCTTTAAAAAGTAAACTGGAGCCGGGCGCGGTGGCTCAAGCCTGTAATCCCAGCACTTTGGGAGTCTGAGGCAGGTGGATCACGAGGTCGAGAGATCGAGACCATCCTGGTCAACATGGTGAAACCCCGTCTCTACTAAAAATACAAAAAATTAGCTGGGCATGGTGGCACGTGCCTGTAATCCCAGCTACTCAGGAGGCTGAGGCAGGAGAATTGCCTGAACCCAGGAGGCGGAGGTTGTGGTGAGCCGAGATCGCGCCATTGCACTCCAGCCTGGGTAACAAGAGCGAAACTCCGTCTCAAAAAAAAAAAAAAAAAAAAAAAAAAGTAAACTGAAGAGACAGATGAAATAATACAGTTTAATAACTAGGAGATCAAGGTAACCGTGGCTGCCAACCTCAAAGACAGTCCGCAATGCTCCTCACCTTTGGTGGAGTCCCATTCATACACTCTACCAGAGTGAATTTCGTTTCTATGACCAATAGCATATAGAGGAAGTGATAATGTGCCATTTTCAATATTACACTGTAAAAGAGTGAGGCTTTTGCCTGAGTTCTTGCTCTCTTGCATGACTTGCTGTAGAAGAAAGCTGCCATGCTGCAAGCAGCCCTATCTGTGCACAGGCCAGGAGCTGAAGTACCCAGCCAAGAGCCAGTAAGAAAGTGAGTCTTGTTAACAACTATGTGAATATGGAAGCAGTTGGGTCTTGAAATGACTGCAAGCCTAGCTGACAGCTTGACTGTAACCTTATGAGAAACCCTGACCCAGAACTACTCAGTTAAACCACTAACAGATTCCTGATCCTTGGAAACTGAGAGATAATATTAACTGTTTTGAGCTGCTTAGTCTTGGAGTAATTTGTTACACTTCAGTAACAATAAGCGTAAGGTAACTGGTGAAGACTGGAAAAGCAGAACAGAGTCAAAGTAAGAAAATGGCTGACTACTTTAAGAGAGCTTAGATTTTTCTAATGGACTTTTCCTAATGAACCACCCAAATAAGGAGATCTACGGGCTTAAATAATAATAAAATAATAAAAACGCAGCTGAAAGATGAAAGCCCACAAAGACTCTTCCAGAAGAGGGGCCAGACGGCACATCTACAGCCCTTGTGTTCTAAATGAGTTGCTACAAGCTGAGCATCCTAAATCTGAAAATCCAAAATCTGAAAGGCTCCAATGAGCACTTCCTTTGACCACCATGTTGGCACTCAGAAAGTTTCAGATTTGGGGGCATTTGGGATTTCAGATTTTTGGATGTGAATTATATTTGCTCAACCTAAATTTAATGCAAATATTCCAAAATTTGAAAAAAAAATCTGAAATCCAAAACGCTTCTGGTCCCAAGCATTTTGGATGAGGGATACTCAATCTGTACTTAACAGCAGTTAAATGAATTACTCTCAACTGGTATCCATTCAAAAGATCCTTAACTGTCCTTAAAGTAGGTATGACTTTCTCCTCCCTTGATAATGCCTGTTCTGGCATATGCCCCTCCAACCTAACCCTGATTTAGAAATGACTAATATCTAAAGCATTTTTTACAAGACCAAAAGTAGTGTCTGCCCAAGGTCCTTAATTGAATAAATAAAATATCTGCACCTCATGCACACTAGTTGTTTTTTAGTAGGGTACCCAAATACCTTATAGACAGCCAAGAGACAGAAGGTTTTCCTTGCTTAGTAAGGTTTTCTCTTTCTACCCAACCCCACTTTTGGGAGCCCATCTTTTTAGGGGTGCTCTTTTCATTTCTTTTTATTTTTTATTTTTTTATTTTTTTTTGAGACGGAGTTCCGCTCTTGTTACCCAGGCTGGAGTGCAATGGCGCGATCTTGGCTCACTGCAACCTCCGCCTCCTGGGTTCAGGCAATTCTCCTGCCTCAGCCTCCTGAGTAGCTGGGATTACAGGCACGCGTCACCATGCCCAGCTAATTTTTTTTTTGTATTTTTAGTAGAGACGGGGTTTCACCTTGTTGACCAGGATGGTCTCGATCTCTCAACCTCATGATCCACCCGCCTCGGCCTCCCAAAGTGCTGGGATTACAGACGTGAGCCACCACGCCCGGCCGCTCTTTTCATTTCTTAACCATTTCCCTATTTTCCACAACCAGGGCAATGCTAAGCTGATATTTTCCACCTTCTCCTCTGTATCTGCTTCAAATCCCTAGCCTTGGTTTTGGGGGAAGAAAAATCTTTTTCTAACTGGTTCCCACAGCCACTTCTGTGTTTTAAATTAAGATAAGTTCTACCCCTTGAAGCTACTTGAGCCACAACACAGTGACCATCCCAAATTCCTAGACACTCCACTAGCTTTTTTCTTGAATTCAAGAACACTGCCAGTGCCAGCCTTCTATCATTCTTCTACCATTACTATTTTGCTATCTGGCTCATTATCCCAGCACCTCTGATTCTAATCTATCTGCTCAAAAGAGATATTCTATAAGCCTCTCTTTCTGCAGACAGAAAGAACTCAAAGTCAGTACCACATTTCCCAAGGCTCCAGCTTATCTCCTTGGTTTAATATAAACAAGGGTGATCAAACTCTAGACCAGGGTTACTTAGAGCCCTTGCAGAGTGCTCCTGAATGGTGCAATAACCTCCAAATTGTCAGTGCTTCAATGCCAAGGCCACAAGAAAGACCACCCAAATTACAAAAACTGAGCACCTGCCATTACTTCTCAAGCCTGAGTAGAAAAGGTGGCATGTGAAGAGATAACATCTCTCGTGTGTGTGCGTGCGTGTGTGTATGTGTGTGTGCGTGTGTGTGCGTGTGCACGAGCTTTCTTGCTTACTCAATCTCTCCCCCCATTCCTGATTTCCTCTACCCCACACAGGAAAGAGTAAGTGCCGTATCTTCAAAGACTCCTGATTTCTGGTAAAAGAAAAAAGAAATAAAAATAGAGCCTTACAGCCTCCTTGACCAGTTTTCTACTGGATTCGACCACTGCTTCTGTCAGTGTAAATTCTGTTTTAATCATCTCCAGCACATTGATAGCTGATTCCAGTGGTGTGAGCTCAGCCTCCATATCAAAGGAACAGTCTAGGACAAAGCACAGTTTTCATTTTAAGCTCTTTTCTAAGAGCAGAAAAGTTATGTCCAAAAAATATATGTACTTATGGAAATGAAGCATGCAGATATAGTAAGATATGCATTTAATTTTTTGACATATTTGCTACAAGTTTACATACACAATAAGTGTCCAAATTCAAATCAATGAATTTAACATGACCATTTTTTAACACTTGTTCAAACAAGCAAAAAAATTATTTTTAAACACATGCATTTGCCTCTCAAATTCAAAATACACCCATCCTCCTCAGATAGAAGCGGCAAGAAACTGACAACAGCTAAACAGCTTTCAAGTTGAATTCAGAGAGGGAAAAATGTACTTCTACTCTGAAAAACACTCTACCATGGGGAAAAAGATGTCCATATGAACATAACTCACTTTAGATAGCAGCAAAGTTGGGTGAGCAATTAACAGGTGGGAGAATATTTTTAAAAACACAGAAAAGCAGCCAAGACAACATTAACCGGAAAAAACAAAAACCAGAAAACAGACCCACTGTAGAACAGAAACGACCACTCTGATGGAAACCCGCGGACTTTAACCTGGAATCCTCCAGTTCCGAATACAAGTTTGAAAACAAAACCCTACGCAAGTAAGCCCAGAGAAGAACACAAAAATAGCCATACCTAAATTTTCCCCTTCTTCAATGCGCGACAGACACTGCATAACCCGCAGCAACCGGGACACGGTATGCTCCTTTCCCAAGGGCCTGACAAGCAAAGCTGGGAAAGAAGACATCGTTGGCTGGGCGACCCCCTGTCCCGACCCCAGTACGACTGAGCCCCCTTCCCGGCGCTCCAACCCCCTTCCCCCGGCCGGGCCCTCACCCTGCATGATGTCCCGGATCTGTCTGAAGTCCCCGTACCGGCTACCCCGAAAGGCCCGCAGCGCCTCGTGGAAGTAGAACTTGAGCACCCAGCGATTGACTGCCTCTTCCAGCCGTGCCTCCCCCGCGCCGCGCTCCGCCGGGCCCCCCAGCCCCGGCTCGTGGCGCCCCCGCCGGGCCCGCCCGCTACTGCGGGACGCCCGCCGGCCCGCCGGCCGCCCGCTGCCGTCGCTGCTCCCGCCTCCTCCAGCCATCGCGTCCGACCGCCGCGCGCCCTCCCCGCCCTCCCCGCCCTCCCGGCCGGGCCGCTTCCTCGGCTGTGACGCCGCCGGGTCACGCACTACGCCCGGGCCGGAAGCAGGGCCCGCCGTCCCGGCTCCCGCGGCCATGATAGGAACAGCGCTCAGAGCCGCCCGCGGGCTTCTGGGAGGGAAAGGACCGGAGGGCCCGGCCCCCTTATCGGATGCCGTAGTTCCCGTTGTGCCGGCCGCAATGCCTCCTGGGGCGTGAAGTCCATGCCACCCAGACCGATGAGCCTGGCAGGGTTTGCAGTCAACTTCGTTCTGAATTTACAGAAAACCGATGTTATGCTAGGGATACGGAACGATGTACTAAAGATTGAAAAACAGGCCGAGCGCGATTGAAAAACACGCCTGGCCGGGCGCGGTGGCTCAAGCCTGTAATCCCAGCACTTTGGGAGGCCGAGGCGGGTGGATCACGAGGTCGACAGATCGAGACCATCCTGGTCAACATGGTGAAACCCCGTCTCTACTAAAAATACAAAAATGAGCTGGGCATGTTGGTGCGTGCCTGTAATCCCAGCTACTCAGGAGGCTGAGGCAGGAGAATTGCCTGAACCCAGGAGGCGGAGGTTGCGGTGAGCCGAGATTGCGCCATTGCACTCCAGCCTGGGTAACAAGAGCGAAACTCCGCCTAAAAAAAAAAAAAGAAAAAGAAAAAGAAAGAAAAGAAAAACACGCCTGTAATCCCAACACTTTGGGAGGCCGAGGCGGATCACCTGAGGTCGGGAGTTCGAGACCAACCAGCCTGACCAATATGGAGAAACCGTCACGACTAAAAATACAAAATAAGCCGGGCGTGGTGGCGCATACCTGTAATCCTAGCTACTCGGGAGGCTGAGGCAGGAGAATCGCTTGACCCCGGGAGGCGGAGGTTGCGGTGAGCCGAGATGGCGCCTTTGCACTGTAGCCTGAACAACAATAGTGAGACTCCGTCTCAGAAAAAGAAAGAGGCCGGGCGCGGTGTCTCAAGCCTGTAATCCCAGCACTTTGGGAGGCCAAGGCGGGTGGATCACGAGCTCAAGAGATCGAGACCATGCTAGTCAACAAGGTGAAACCCCGTCTCTACTAAAAATACAAAAAATTAGCTGGGCATGGTGGCGTGTGCCTGTAATCCCAGCTACTCAGGAGGCTGAGGCAGGAGAATTGCCTGAACCCAGGAGGCGGAGGTTGCGGTGAGCCGAGATCGCGCCACTGCACTCCAACCTGGGTAACAAAAGTGAAACTCCGTCTCAAAAAAAAAAAAAAGAGAGCGAGAGAAAGAAAGAAAAACAAAAACGTGCACCTTATTAAGCACTTTGAAAATTGTGAAAAAGAGCGTACACAGAGGCAAGTTTTTAAACAAATTTGCATTTTAACAAATACTGTAATTATAAAGCAAAGACCAATGCGATACCAAAAAACAAAATACACCTGGCACCCCAGAAACCTCTAGGCATATTCTCTTTGTAATCACAAAAATAACACATTTTGTTGTAGAACAATCAGAAAAATAAGCAAAAGGATACCCACAGTCCCATAGAGGTTCTAAGTCACTTTCAGGTATCTCTGATGCTCTTTGAATTCACCAACCCGCACTTGACCAAATGGAGAACCTCCAATTCAGACCTTAGTTCAGGAAGGTAGTTGTGGGTGCCTCCTCCTGACAGGCCTAGTAACTGGTCTAGCTTCAAAGTTTGTCCTACCAGCCCCACTAGACTGGAACCAGCAAAGATCCAGTTTAGGGCCACTCAAAGACAATAAAGAAGGGCAGGTGGCAGTGTCCTTGAGGATGTGAATTTCCTGCTGAACCTTGGAATTAATTATATCTGGACCTTAATATGTATAGTATCCTGGTTACCCAAAAGTTCCATGTGATACACATTTCAGGATGAGAGAAGAGGCCTCTAGGTCTGACTGATCTTTGGTGATCATGGCTGCTTTTCCATTCCAGCCTGCTTGCCTTAACCAAGAGCCAAACCACCTTTATTTTAATTATTTTTTTGAGACAGTTTCACTCTGTAACGCAGGCTGGAGTGCAGTGGTGCCATCATGCTCACTGAAGCCTTGAACTCATGGGCTCAAGTGATCCTCTTGTCTCAACCTCCTCAGTAGCTGATACTACCGGCCTGTGCCACCATGCCTGGGTAATTGGAAAAAATTTTTTGTAGAGTTGGGGGTCTTGCTGTGTTCCCCAGGCTGGTCTCGAACTCCTGGCCTCAAGCCGTCCTCCCACCTTGGTCTCCTAAAGTGCTGGGGATTTCAGGAGTGAGCTACTATACCTGGTGCCAAATCACCTGCCTTTCAATTCTAACTTATTTTTTTTTCTAAGACAGCCTTGCTGTGTTGCCCAGGCTGGAGTGCAGTGGTGTGATCTTGGCTCACTGCAACCTCCGCCTCCTGGGTTCAAGTGATTCTTCTGCCTCAGCCTCCCTAGTAGCTGGGATTACAGGCATGTGCTGTCACACCTGGCTAATTTTTGTATTTTTAGTAGAGACAGGGTTTCACCATGTTGGCCAGGCTAGTCTCGAACTCCTGGCCTCAAGTGATCCGCCTGCCTCGGTCTCCCAAAGTGCTGAGATTACAGGCGTGAGCCACTGTGCCTGGCCTATTTTAAGTCTTCTACTTGCTAGCTGTGTAACCTTGAGCAAATCACTTCACTGTCCATGTGCCTCTGTTAACACATCTATCAAGCACAAATGGTGAAGGTACCTCTTGGAAATCATATGACAAGTTAATGAATTGCTATTTACATGCCTTTAGTGAAGGGCTCAGCTTGTGGTAAGGGCTCAGTAAGTGTAAGCTGTTTTTTTTGTTTGTTTGTTTTTGTTTTTTCGAGACAGTCTCACTTTGTCCCCCAGGCTGGAGTGCAGTGGCGCGATCTCAGCTCACTGCAACCTCTGCCTCCCGGGTTCAAGCAATTCTCCTGTCTCAGCCTCCCAAGTAGCTGGGATTACAGGCATGCGCTACCACCCCTGGTTAATTTTTGTATCTTTAGTAGAGACGGGTTTTCACCATGTTGGTCAGGCTGGTGTCAAATTCCTGACATGATCCACTCGCCTGGGCCTCCCAAAGTGCTGAGATTACGGGCCTGAGCCACCGTGCCCAGGCTGTGTAAGCTGCTTCATCCAGAACCTGCCTAGAAAGTCTCCTACTCTCCTCTGACCAAAAAAACTCCTCACTTTTCTTTTTTAAAAACGAAGGTGGCCGGGCGCGGTGGCTCAAGCCTGTAATCCCAGCACTTTGGGAGGCCGAGGCGGGTGGATCACGAGGTCGAGAGATCGAGACCATCCTGGTCAACATGGTGAAACCCCGTCTCTACTAAAAATACAGAAAATTAGCTGGGCATGGTGACGCGTGCCTGTAATCCCAGCTAGTCAGGAGGCTGAGGCAGGAGAATTGCCTGAACCCAGGAGGCGGAGGTTGCGGTGAGCCGAGATCGCGCCATTGCACTCCAGCCTGGGTAACAAGAGCGAAACTCCGTCTCACAAAAAAAAAAAAAAAAAAAAAAAAAAACCCACGAAGGTATGAAGTACATAAAGTGCACAAATCTTCAGTATGCTGCTTCATGGATTTTCTCCTTGTTTTTCAAAGTCCCATCGTCCTCTGGTTAGCCCAAAATCATTCTCTTCTTTGTGCTTCCTGCTTTCTTGGTGAGTTCCACCAGGAGGCAGTGTGGTATACAGTCAATGTCTTAAGGGCAGGCCCTACAACTCCTCCGGGAGTCTTGTGTTTGTCCATCTGTGAAAGAGGACAGATTACCAAAAGGACGCTCCAGAGGGTTGTACTAAAGATGAAATATGGGCTGGGCGCAGTGGCTCACACCTGTAATCCCAGCATTTTGGGAGGCCGAGGTGTGTGAATCACTTGAGGTCAGGAGTTTGAGACCAGCCTGGCCAACATGGTGAAACCCCATCTCTACCAAAAATACAAAAAATTAGCGGGACGTGGTGGTGGGCGCCTGTAATCCCAGCTGCTGGGGAGGCTGAGGCAGGAGAATCGCTTGAACCTGGGAGATGGAGGTTACGGTGAGCTGAGATCGTGGCACTGCACTCCAGCCTGGGCGACAGAGCCAAAACTCTCTCAAAACATAAAGATGAAATAAGGCCTGTAAATAATGCCAGACAGTGCTGGGTGCAGTAGCTCGCGACTGTAATCCCAACACTTCGGGGGGCTGAGACACAAGAATTGCTTGAAACTGGGAGGCAGAGGTTGCAGTGAGCTGGGATGATGCCACAGCACTCCAGCCTGGATAGAGCAAGACTCTGTCTCAAAAAAATAAAAATAATAATAATTGGCCGGGCAAGGTGGCTCATGCCTATAATCCCAGCACTTTGGGAGGCCAAGATGGACAGGTCACCAGAGGTCAGGAGTTTGAGACCATCCTGGCCAACATGGTGAAACCCTGTCTCTACTAAAAATACAAAATTAGCTGAGCATGGTGATGAGCACCTGTAATCTCAGCTACTTGGGGGGTTGAGGCAAGAGAATCACTTGAACCCGGAAAGCAGAAGTTGCAGTGAGCTGAGACCCTGCCATTGTACTCTAGTCTGGGCGAAAAGAGCGAAACTCCATGTAGAAAATGAAAAAAAAATTAAAAAGAAAAAATATTGTCTGACACATGCCAATCAAAGGTTTTTTGTTTGTTTGTTTGTTTGTTTTTGAGACACGCTCTTGCTCTGTTACCTAGGCTAGAGTGCAGTGGTGTGATCATGGCTCACTGCAGCCTTAACCTCCCAGGCTCCAGGGATCCTCTTTCCTTAGCCTCCTGAGTAGCTGAGACTACAGGTACATGCCACCATGCCTGGCTAATGACTGGTTTGTTTTTTTTTTAATATAGAGACAGGGTTTTGCCTTGTTGGCCAGACTGGTCTCAAACTCCTGGGTTCAAGCAATTTTGCCTCCTAGGCTTCCCAAAGTGCTGAGATTACAGGTCTGAGCCATCCAGGCCGGCCTAGCAAAGTTTTAAAAGTTAGTAATCCCTGTTGTCAGGGAAGGTACTGTGAAGCAGTCCCTTTCAGCCAGTGCTGGTGGGAGTGTTAAATCAGTACAACTCGCTGGACGCGGTGGCTCACACATGTAATCCCAGCACTTTGGGAGGCCAAGATGGGCAGATCACAAGGTCAAGACATC